TGAAGAAGGGTCCAGACCCGAAATGTCAGCTTTCCTGCTCCTCTGATGCTGCTTGGCCTGCTGTATTCATCCAGCTCTACACCTTGTTATCTCAGATTCTCCAGCATTGGCAGTTCCTGCTATCAATGAATCAGCTTGTATCTGCTAGAGTTTAAAACAGAGAGCAGTAACCGATGAAACATATAAGTTATGAGGGGTTTTGGCAGCATAGATGCAGAGAGGATGTTTCTTCTAATGGGATTATCTAGAACTTGGGGTCACTCTTTCAAAATCAGTGGTCAGTCCATTCAGGGATTTTTTTTAGTTCTGAGAGGATGGGGAGTCTTTGGGATTCACTTCTTCAAAAAGTGTTGGGAGTAAAGTTACTGATAATTTTTAAGGCAGAGGTATATATAATTCTTGTTAAGCAAGGGGTGAAAAGTTATCAGTGGTGGACAGAAATATGAATTTGAGGTTACAATCAGTTGAACCATAAACTTTTGAATGGTGGAGCATTATGGAGGGTGAACAACTTGCTCCTGCTCCATGTTTGTATATACTCTTCAAACTAGACTAGGAGGGGGAATATCCTAATTCACACTTGATCACTTCAGGCTTGAACAAATCCACGCACAACAGCTGCAACATCAGCTGAAACACTTCCTTGCCCCACATCAACTTTCATTTATCACAGAGAGAAGCATACAGTTGTAAAATAGAGTGCGACTGTGTTATTTCCAATCACAGAAGTTTAATTAAAAAGATGACATTACTAATTTAATGCTTTTTTATGAGTTCCTTTGAGTTAAAATAACAAAAAAAATTAAAAATCTTCCATTCTAGTAGAAGACTTTGGTATTTTCTAGAGAGCAGATTGCTTTTATAAATAGCATTCCTAAAATACTTTATGAAAAGACTGTGGTTTTCGATGAGATCTGCAGCCTGATGTAGAGAATCAGACAATACATGTTTATGTCTAAACTAATCACTGGATAGAAATTCTTCATGGTTTTTGAACTGATGTGATCACTTTGCTTCCTTATACAGGTTCTGTACTATTATTAATAATGATGGCTCTAATTGTCTAGAAAAAACAAAATATTTATTTAGATGTAACAGCTCAGAGCCGTATGTCCTCCTGCATTGGTGCTGTCATTTTTCCATATTTTACTTCTTCTAATCTGATGGGTTCCAGTTAGCTGGTAATGTCTGGAGAATGATGTTTCAGCTTTGTAAGCTTCATAGTGATATACAGTAAATAGTCTAATACTATCTCACACCCACTGCAGCATAATTACAAATTATGGGCTGATGAACTACTTTTAACATCTTCTAATGTTAGAACTTTCAGTTTGGTTGACATTAAAATGTAACCCACATTGAGATATTTGTGAGTGAAGTTCTGATAATATTATATGATGCTTCTGTTTTCCATGACCAGAGAGCAGTGTGGGAAGGTAGTTTAGTTTGGTTCTGCTTCCTCCTCAGCAGGTATCGGACACAAATGGCTACTTTCATATATTCATAACTCAGGTCTCAATATCTAAGTTATTTACAGATTATTGTAATGTAATTATATCATGCATGCATAAACAGAATTGCAATTAGAACGTTTTAGAATGCACTTGCATGTTATGATTTTCTGTTTGTAAATTCTGTTTGCAGGTTTTAAGGGCTTCAGTTGTGAAGTTAGATAACCCACCTTTAACTGTTATTATTCCATGCACGAAGCTAAATTAATCGATGTTGAGAATATCAAAAGAACAGTGGTGCATTAAAATAACTGTTTAATTCATAATCACATATATCATATCTATAGCAGTAAGTACCCCAGTTTATAAAAAATACTGAAAATGGTCCATTTCAACTCCCCCTCCCATTCCTCATACGACATGTCCATCCTGGGCCTCCTGCAGTGCCACAACGATGCCACCCGAAGGTTGCAGGAACAGCAATTCATATTCCGCTTGGGAACCCTGCAGCCCAATGGTTTCAATGTGGACTTCACAAGCTTCAAAATCTCCCCTCCCCCTACCGGATCCCAAAACCAGTCCAGCTTGTCCCCGCCTCCCTAACCTGTCCTTCCTCCCACCTATCCCCTCCTCCCACCTCAAGCCCCACCCCCATCTCCTGCCTACTAGCCTCATCCCGCCCCCTTGACCTGTCCGTCCTCCCTGGGCTGACCTATCCCTTCCATAACTCCCCACCTACACCCACCTTTACTGGCTCCATCCCCGCCTCTTTGACCTGTCTGTCTCCTCTCCACCTATCTTCTCCTCTGTCCATCTTCTATCTGCCTCCCCCTCTCTCCCTATTTATTTCAGAACCCCCTTCACCTCCCCCATTTCTGAAGAAGGGTCTAAGCCCAAAACGTCAGCTTTCCTGCTCCTCTGATGCTGCTTGGCCTGCTATGTTCATCCAGCTCTACACCTTGTTATCTCAGATTCTTCAGCATCTGCAGTTCCTACTATCTCTGAAAATGGTCGACTACTTGGTACAATTCTTTGTTGTTTGGATTTCCTCCCAGTCTGTGACAGATTAACAGATATTGGCTGCAAGTGTATCCTCTGGCCATTATACTAAGACTCTCTGTCTCATTAACACCAGTAATAATATGATAATTTTGTCACCTTCTCAAGTACCAAACCTGCTTCAAGAAGCTGAAATTATATTTTAAATAATCAAATTAAAATTGGTCTCAATTATCACAATTACAGCAAGTTGGTGGCACAATGCTCTCATTGCTAATCTCTTACCGTATAAAAGATTTTATACTTATATAACATCTTTCATTTATTTATATAAAATATATAAAAACACCTTTTACATCCTCAGGAGTCTAAAATGCTTCAATTAATTACTTTTGACATTGATGTGACCACTGCCTTACTCTTCCTCAAAGATTGCCATGGGACTTCTTACACCATCTGAATGAGTAGACAGGAAATCAGTGTAGCATCTTGCTGAAAAGACAGTACTTCTGATAGTTTAGCACTCCCCAAACATGGTACTAGAATGCTGGATTGATTCCTAAAGTGAAGACTAAGCCACTGAAAAATCTGTGAGTGTTCAGCCAAGCTAACCCTGCTATGTGCTGGCAAGGGATATGAGGTGGTGTAACAACAGTATTCATTGATTCACAGTTCTAGTTCTAGAAAGAATACCACCCTAGGAATTTAAAATGATGACTAATATTTTGATTAATACAATAAAGGTATTTATTTTTCAGATGGATACATTAAAAACAACTGACCCCTGGTGACTATTTGGAGACAAATAGAACATGTAGTAATTAGTTTCTGCTTAAACTTGAACAATTTTACTTTAGGTTAGCAAATGTGTTAATTTTCCCAGGTATTCTATGGAGATTGCTTGTGTGTTATTAAATTAGATTGGTGGGTGCCTGGAACACATTGCCAGCGGAGGTGGTAGAGGGGGCACGATAGCGTTATTTAAGATGTATCTAGACAGATACATGAATGGGCAGGGAGCAGAGGGATACAGATAATTGGAAAATAGGCGACAGGTTCAGATAGAGGATCTGGATCGGCACAGGCTTGGAGGGCCGAAGGGCCTGTTCCTGTGCTGTAATTTTCTTTGTTCTTTGTTCTAGATCAAATATTGCATTTTGTGTTGTGCTGAGGGCTTGTGTAACACTTGTGGGCTCATCACTGGCATTGAGTTTAAATTGGGCCTTAGCTGTTGTGGCAAAAGCAAATTATCAGTCAACAGAAAACAAAAGGATGTGTTCATGTATGAAAGTGGCTAACACTTTCTCAAATTTGGCCACATTCATGAATTAAAGTTTCCTCCCTCTGCTTGGTTCTACATTAAATCCTAGAAGAGCACATCACAAAAAGGTCCAAGAATAACTTGGTTTGGAAAATGGAGGGATTTGGTTTAAAATACATTGGAGTAGAAATTCTCCCACTTCTAATGATGTCATTAATGTGCTGAATAGCAGAATAACTATAGTGAAATCCAGAACAAGATCTTCAGTTTACGATTTTGCTAGGAATACAGCATGCAGGAAATTCTTACAAGCATCTTTACAATACAAACTATAGATGTCCTTAGCCCTCTGTGGAATAGATTGTTGATGTGGCTTATCTAATCCATGTCATACCTGATCTTAATGTATGTGATGCTGACATTGGGAACAAAACTAGCTAATAATTGCATTTTCCATCCGGATCTGAGTACAAAGGTTCACTCATAAGTGACGTAAGGTAGCACAGACCTTTAATAATACTGTTCAGAAAGAAAACACTATTTGGGTTGCTAACATAGCTTTTAAACTCTGTGTCATTCTCAGTCAGTAGTACTCTTAGTTCTGAGCAATGCATTGGTTGAAGTCCCTGCTCCTGAGACTTGAATACAACATTTGACTGATACACCCTGTGTAGTACTATAGGAATGTTGCAATGCCAGAGGAGCAGCTCTCAAATGTGACAGTAAAACAAGGTTCAAGGTAAAAGATCCCATGGCACTATTTTGAAGAAGACTCTGGTGCCCTGAAGTCAATATTAACCCCTCAATCAACATCACAAAGACATTTTCTAGTCATTATCATATTGCTGTTAGTGAAAGCTTGCTGAGTGTAAATTTGCTGCTCCATTTTGCACATTCCAACTACACTTCAAAAGTACCTCATTGACTGTAAAGCATTTTGAGAAGTCCTGAGGTTGTGAAAGGTGCTATATAAATGAATGAGAGATAGTAGGAACTGCAGGTGCTGGAGAATCCGAGACAACAAGGTGCAGGGCTGGATGAACACAGCAGGCCAAGCAGCATCATAGGAGCAGAAAGGCTGACATTTCGGGCCTAGACCCTTCATCAGAAAAGGGGGAGGAGAAGGGGTTTCTGAAATAAATAGGGAGAGAGTGGGAGGCGGATAGAAGATGGATAGAGAAGAGGATAGATGGAGAGGAAACAAACAGGTCGAAGAGGTGGGGATGGAGCCAGTAAAGGTGAGTGTAGGTGGGGAGTTAGGGAGGGGATAGGTCTGGCTTTCTTTTTACCTCTGGTCTGTGTGGCTTGGCTCTCATCTCCCAGACCATCATCATCTCCTCCGTATGTCCGAATTGGTGAACGAGCGTAGGTGTGTTTCTGGATTAAATTCTCCACACTTTCTCTGTGAAACAGAAGAATTAGTGTGAACGTGTGAAACCCAGCAGATATCCTGTATCAGCAGATGTCAGATAAATACCTAGAAAGTCATGTATTACCTTATTGATTTTCATGTTGTGATGAGATTCTATCACGCATGAATTGTATGAGCCACAGGGTGTTATCCTTATTTATACAGAGCAATGATCAATTAGCAATGGTAAGTCAAATATTCCAACCATTTTGAACAGGATGTCTATTTAAGTTCCACTGTTTTGATTATTTATTCAATATTCTCTTTTCTATCTTTACTGCTTTACATTTTTCACTAACTGTGCAATATTTTAATTTTACTTTAAATATTACCATGGTCTCTTCACTCACTTTGAACTCCCTCAGAGCTATCTCCTCTCAACTGGCTGTTCCTCCTTGTTTGGCTTCATTTGCAAACTTGATCAGCTGGTATTATGAAGTTTTCAGTTAAAGTGAGAGGAAGTCAGCATCCCAGCTCTTTCTCAAACATTACAAATAAAAACATTACATTTAACTCACAGATAAGTGACTAGGAAATGATAATGCCAATTTTGAAATATTACATCTTCGTTTTACTAACCCCAGAAAATATTTCATCAGCAAAAAAAAAATCGAAAATTCAAAACCTGAAAAACAACAGGTTAAAATATATCGTTTCCTATGTAAGTCTAGAATGGGGGTCATTGAAGGAAGCAGAAGAGGCCATTCAGCTCTCTCTTCCTGTGATAGCTTTGTTTCTCTTTTTCAAATGTTAATCCAATTCCCTTCTAGAAGCCTATTGAATCTGCTTCGCCACCTTTTTAAGTGGACCATTTCAGATCACAATTCAATGTATTTTCTCACCTGCCTGTTGGTGTCTTTTGTCAATTCATTCTGAAATCTAACTTTAATTTTCTCCGAATTCCACGAGAAGTTCGAATCTGAAAGTGTGTTTTAGAAATCTCCCTTGTTTTCAGTTTAAATTCTTATTCTGAAACAGATGTTATCGCCCCATTCTCACGCATCTCCATCCATCCAAATATTCCAGCAGAACAGGTACCAACATTCGCTGTCCCGGGTTATGTATTCTGAGCAGAGATCTGAGTGTTTTAAAGCTGACTCAGAAAAAGACACCGAATCCCTTTGGAAGCACAACACTTGAAACAGACACAAGCATCGTCAAATATCATTTAGGTCGGGAAGTGGAATTTTCCGGAGAAATCAGCTGTGCATTTGACAATTATTTCTTTCACGTGCCCATATGCATCTGCGGATAGTATTCTTGCTTTAACCGCAAGAAGAACACAAATATCCCTTTACTCACATTGGAATTATTCCTTACAGCCGAATTATTTGATATTGGCAAAGACAAATCAGTGACGGTCACGGGAGATTGTTGTATAAATATTTTGAGAAAGCGGCACATTTAGCCTCATTTACGTCAATAATTAATTGTTCGGAAACTGTCAATCCAGAGAGGTTTTAATCCAATTGAATTATTCCAGTGATAGAGAAACTCGGTACAACTAGCCTCTAATTTAAAGTCGCTACAGTCCTACCAGACAATAGGGCTGTTCTCTCATTAAAGAGAGAGAGAGATGACTGGAGGTGGTTTAACCTGAGGGTCACCGTGCCTCGGGTGAAGGGAGAGGTTAGTGAGAGTGTCCTTCATGGTGGTGCAGGTATTGATCCCACGCTGTTCGCGTTACTCCGCATTTCAAGCCAGCTACCTGAGCTAACCTACACCCTCCCCCATTGCATTCTCTAATGACAATCCCCCCCACAACCAATCAACTCAGATTCGTGACTTTTAAAATATTTCGCGTCAACTGTCCAGTTCTGCCAAGTGCCGCTGGTATTGTATATTTGATTGCTTTGCTGAAATGAAAACAAAATGCGAAATCTGAGAGCGGAGTTTGTCAGAGGGACAAGTCCAGAGTTAGTAATTGAAATTTCAGGGATCAAATTCATTTTTAAAGTTTTTTTCTGACAAGATCTACCCTCGTTGTCCTACTGGAAGTGTGCCTTTGTTCAGGTTGTGAAAGCTGTCTTTAATGGCAGTGAGCTCCCCGGCTCTCAGGCAAAATGCAGTTACTGTCAACTTCCAACCTGAATATGTTTAATCATCGGGGAACCAGCTCTGCGGCGGTATTCAATCAGTAACCGGGAGAATCGAATTATTCGGCTGTTTGTCCCAGTAACTGACTGTAAACTAATCACATCTCTAGCGCCCTCAGAGGACTCATCGATCAGATTCAATCCTGTCCCTCAACAGTCTTCAGACAAATGAGACTTTTACACACTGGCCGTCAGTTACAAAGTTCAACTCCCAATCCCCTCTCTTAAATAAAATACTCAAACATTTATCAAGAGGTAGAGGCGAATATAGATTTTAAAATCTTTCCCCTCCCCGTTTCTGTGAGCAGTTTAGAATAAGCAATAAGCAGATTACTACCCATCAATGTACACGTAAAGGACCGTGTATCTAGGGCAATGTAGCAGACACACAATGTACACACCATATAGGCACAGTATGGACACAGTACAGAGACAGTGGGCACACAGTATAGACACAGTATACACACTGTGCAGACACTGTGCACACAGTACGGACACAGGCACATAGTACACACAGTACAGACATAGGCACAGTGTGCACACAGTACAAAGTGTGTACACAGTACAAAGTGTGCACAGAGTACATACACAGTGTACACACAGTATATACACACGTGCGCAGTGAATACACATGCACCGTGTAAGTATCAACTCTATGGAACAATTTGATTGCTAAGATTTTGTTTAATGACAGGTTTTACGGTGATAGAAATCTCACGAAATCTTTTCAGAGGCGACTTGCAGTAATAGGGAGACCGGTTCCAGGAGCAAAACTGTCGTCACACGATTACTCCGAGTGGGGGCGGAGCTTCCGAATGGTGCATTCAGGTAATAGTGACCTGGAAGGTCACAGTGTCGGTCCCATAGGGACTTTAACATAGCCGCTTTGATGGGGACAGTAAACTAGTCTCTCCTTCACATTCTACCCCTACATCCCGGACTGGGAACACAACTCACTGCAGCAGAACAATAAGAGGGATCTCATTGTGAAGCTGCTCCGCGCACTCCATGTTTCATTTACACTCCCATTCTATCAAACATGGAGTGACGAGCAGTACAGAAAACCCGAAGGATTTCAGGAATGGGAGCTAAAGTTGGGTGTTTGGAAGAAAGGGCCCTCGGCTCTTTCTATGAAGGAGATGAAGAGCAGCAAAGGGCCCAATGTATATACATGCCATGGACTCTAGTCTTGCCGAAGCCCAGAGCGGAACGCGTCCAAAACAACATTTCTGAAGAAACGTCAGCTTTCCTGCTCCTCTGATGCTGCTTGGCCTGCTGTGTTCATCCAGCTCTACACCTTGTTATCTCAGATTCTCCAACATAGACAGTTCTTACTCTCACTTCCAGACTTCGCTGTTTTCCATCGCAACCGACAAACGACCCTTTCCAACAAAATGTGGAATGGAAATGCACGACAACTTTCTTGTTGATAAGGGGGCCTCTGTTTTGAAACGCTCCGCAGTAATTATGTTCATGATTGTGTGACACTTTTCGTGCCCTATAACTTGTGTTTACTGATCACTGTGGATGATAATAGTTACTACTTGGCAGTTGCTGCCACGATGCTGCCTCACTCACTACAAGCGAGTTGCAGCAGGATAGCAAATGGGGTTAAAGCAGAGGCCAGCTTTGGAGGGGCTGAACAACTGCCTCCTGGTTTTAAAGTTCAATCTCTTCTTGCAAATGCACGGACACAGCTCTGTCTGACCGGAGGAAACATCATGATACGCAGCCGGCAGCGTGTGGCAGTGAGCTTAGTCTCGACAATACAATGGTGTAGGATAAAGGCACTTCAGTCACACAGCTATGGATGCTATCCGGCTGTATGTATCCGCAATGTACCAGGGAAGCTGCTGATAAATTCAAAGCTCTCACACTGACTTTATTTCCCCTGCTTTAACCGTCATCTGAGCACAGCCACCCAGTCAGAGTATAGATTTTTTACAGACCTCTCTGCTGATGTACGCGTGTACCGCTTGTTTTTTAGAGATTGCGAACAAAACATCCTTCTGGTGCGAACTCACTCAGAGATAGTAGGGACTGCCGATGCTGGAGTCTGAGATAACAAGGTGTGAAACCTGTTCACACTTTCAGGATTCTCACTGAGCTGTAAGGGCCCAGCAGCTATCCCTCTCTGCTGAGGATGTGCAGCATTTACTCTCCCTTTTCAGTTTACACTCCACGGGTGGCTTCCGATTTGACAATAACTAATCTCATTGTGTCAGGGTTAAACCAGAAATGAGCAAGCGACATTCACAAGTGTAAAATATGCACGAAAAGTTAATTGATAATAAGCCCGAGTTATTACGATTTGTAACGTAAACATCGCGCCACTCGCATTGTAACCGTATGGAACTGAGAAAAACGAGCCTTACTCCTGAAAACAGTACCTCTCCATGTCAGTCAGGCGGGAGGAATCCCGGAATCCTTTAGCGAAAGGATTACTGTCGATTTTTAATTTGGTGATCTGCAGAGAAAAGCATTATCAATCAAACCGCTGTCTCTGGAAACACTACAATGGGAAGGTGAATGAATTCACCAGATTTCTGATATTAAAAACTAACTTGTAGAGCCCGTGACCAGTGGGTGTTGGGGTGGGAGTAACCATTCTGTTACTGGACTCATATTCTCATCAGCGCTGAAGGTCTTTTTGAAGTGGTTTGAAATGCTGGTCTCAGTAAGCGTGACAATTGAACTAATAATTCGTCAGAGAGAGCTATTGGTTTATTAACGTCTTTCATAGGAGGACGTCCAACTCCGTCACCACATCTCACAGAGCCAGGGAGAGTGCGGGAGACCCCGTGGTCTGGGGGGCCCGGGGCTCTGCCAGCGGAGGACCCTGGGTCCCAGAGGGTCCTGAGTAACCAGAGGTGGTCGTTAGGTCTGGGGATCCCCAGCGTACGGAGGAAGGGGCTCGCTGGGGGTATGGGAATCGCAGGTGCCTGGTGACGGTGGGAAGGGGGATAGTCTGAGGTCCCAGGGTCCCAGGGACGCTTGCGAAATTCAGAACAAAAAAAACCCAGAGAATAAAAAAAATCTGAAACGAAACCAGAAGGCACTGGAGAATCTCAGCACCCGTTTCAGGCCCAGTGACACTGGTACTGAAGAAGATGCTGCTGGGTTGCTGAGTTTCTCCAGCTATTGCTGTTTCTGGAGTTAGCCTCAGGTCTGACCCGAGACAAAGTGACAGAGGAACGCCCGAGATTGAACCACCGCTCGCATGAAAGGAAATAAAGGAACTGCCTCATCATTCACTCTCTCCTAAATAAAAGCAATTAAATAGAATGACACATTCTGAACAGCTCTATAACTGGAGAACGAAAAAAAACACAAAGCGAGAACCACTCAAACTGGAATTCCTTTCAATGTTTTCTTTAGACCAGATGCTGTTTATAAGAACAATATCTTGTAAGAAGGGTCTTCAATGAGCCACTGGTACCGTGTCAGTTTCTGTCGGTTTACACAGCAACCAGATTACTGCGGTTTCTTCACAGATCGAGCCCAGTTACCGATCGAGAAGGAACTCACCAGTTGGTTCTGGTAAGCGGTGACTGCAGTAAAAACCGTCTCTGGGAAGATGAAGGTGCGGAATTCTTCGGATTTGAGGTTGACCAGAGAAGCGGTGTGATCCTTCTTTTTAATGATGTGAACTCTGGGCTGGTATTTATGCATGGAGTTTAAAATAATCTGTAGAATGAATTCATCACAATTACAGCAGAGAGCCAAGATTCAGAATGTGCAAAATTAAACAGACATTCACCGGATCCGCATTCAACCTCTGAACACAACCTTTCCCCATTTCAAAACTACACATTCACAGCCAAACCCAGCTGTAAAGTAAAATTTACGTGCCGGAAAGGGTGGGAATTCTCGAGAACTCCAATGATGGAAATCCAGGAAAAATCCCAATTTGCCAGGTTTCGACAGAGTTAGATGCTCCCAACAACACTAATCTAATTGACCGAAACAAATAACAGCTCCTCTGTTTAATCCTCTACTCGGCAAGTCGCGAATTTTTATTCAGTGCTTTGCCTTTAAAATCAATTTATCGCCATTTATTGGAGGAAAATAATTCATTGGAGAATTCAATTAACAATAATGCTGTATAATGATCCGTCTATAAGATTTCTATATTCTACAGTAAATCCTAATTATAATACGACTACATTCCATACAGAAAACGGTCTAAAAAAACTTCTATATTCCACACTATAACTTATCTGTAAAATCCTTACATTCCACACTATAATTTGTTTATACCATCCCTATATTCCACACTGTGAACTGTCTATAACATCCCTATATTTCAAACTATAACCTGTCTATGACACACTATTTTCCACAATAACCTGTTTATAAGAGCCCTATATTCCACACTATAAACTGTCTACAACGCCTCCAAATTCCACATTGTAAACTGCCTATAACACCCTATATTCTGCACTGTAAACTGTCTATAACCCCTATATAAGACACCATAACCTATCCATACCAGATCTATATGCCACATGTAACCTGTCTATCACACCCTATATTCTGCATTAAAAAATGTCTTTTACACCATATTCCACACTATAAACTGTCTATAATGTCCCTTTATTATACACTGAAAATTGCCTGTAATAGCTCTATGTCCCACACTGTAATTTCACTTAAAGCAGTATATTCCACACTGTAACCTGTCTATAACATATCTTTATTAGATACTGTAACCTCTTTAACACCCCGTATTCCACAATGTAAACTGTCTATCTCTCCTATATCCCACACTGTGACCTGTCTATAACCCACCTATATTCCACATTGTGACCTGTCTATAACCCACCTATATTCCACATTATAACCTGTCTCTAACACTCTTATATTCCACAACGTAAACTGTCAGTAACACTCCTATATTCCACAATGTGACCTGTCTATAATACACCAATACTCCACATTATAAACAGTCTCCAACACCCCGATATTCCATCTATAACCTGTATATAACACCTCTATATTGCACACTGTATCCTGTCTATGACACTCCTATATTCTACATTCTAACCTGTCTCTAACATCCCCATATTCCACCCACAAAGCTGTAAATAACACACCTACATTCTACACTGTAACTGTCTATAACACTCCTATATTCGATACTGTAAACTGTCTTTAACACTCCTGTATTCCCTATAACACTGCTATATACCACACTGTAAATTGCTATATTCTAAGCTGTCTATAACACTGCTATATTCCACACTCAAAACTGTCTATAATACAACTATATTCCGCACTGTAACATGTCTATAACACCCAGTATTTCATATTATAGCCTGTCTATAAATCCCTATATTCCATACTGTAAGCTGTCAATGACATCCTGATATTCCCATTATAACCTATCTATAACATCTCCATATTTTACACTGTAAATAGTTTAAACACCCTTATCTTCCACACTATAACCTGTCTATAACACTCTATATTGTACACTGTGACCTGTTTATAACACTACTATATTATACACTCTAAACCTTCCAAAACATGATTACATCCCACATAGACAACTGCCTATAAAGCCTCTATATTCCACACAATAACCTGTTTATAACAACTCTATATTTCACACTGTAAACTGTCAATAACAACCCTGTATGCTACACTGTAACTTGTCTATAACACCGCTATATTCCACATTGCAATTTGTCTATAAGTACTGAATTCCATGCTGTACTATGTCTATAACACTTCCATATTCTACACTGCAACATATCTATAACAGCCCTATATTGTATACTGTAACACATTCCACAGTTTCTTGTCCATAAAAGCCCTAATTTCCACACTGTAACCTCTCTACAACATCTCTACATTCCATATTGGAACCTGTCTTTATATCTTCATATTCCACTTGATAATCTGTATGTAACACCCTTTACTCTGTGCTATAATCTACCTGTAACATCCCTATATTCCACACTGTAACCTGTCTGTACACCATTATATCCTGCACTGTAACCCATCTTATAAGGACAGCAATAAAATGTGTGTTTGAAGGATGGGAGGCTATGTCTTCTTCTCTTGAAATAGAAGGCTAAGGGTATGGTTTAATAGTATGAAAAGTTTTGTACAGAGAGAATATTTCCTCTTGTAAGGAAGAACATAACTAAAGTTAATAACAAGAAATCGTACAGTGAATTCAGAAGAGAATGGTGAAAATGTGATACTCGTTACTATCAGGAGTGGTTGAAGTGAATAGTACAGGTACTTTTTAGAGCCAACTAGACAATTGCATAAGGGAAAAGGGAATAGAAGATTATGATTATAGTTTTAGATGAGGAAAGATAGTATGAGGCTGAAGTAGAATATAAACACTAGTATGAGCTGTTTCTATGCTGTACTGTATATCCTGTGTAAAATCTATCTATTATACTTCCACACTCCACACACAGTAACTGTAGCAGTGCATATTAACTTGACTTTAGTGTACCCTGACTGCACTCCACATACAGCAACAACCTGTCTTTAACTTGTCTGTAACATACTTGTACTCCACACAGTAACCTAACAGTGACACACACATACTCTACACATAGCAATCTGCCTGTAAGACACTTGTACTCCACATAGAAGCATAGAATGTTTACATACAAACAGAGGATATATGACATCAAGCCGATTTCTACTCACTATAAGACAATCTCAGCTAATTGGACTCTCTTGTCCTTTTCTTTGCATTTCTGTCCAGGTACTTATCCAAGTTACTTTTAAAAGTTACAATTAAATCTGCTCCCACCACCCTTTCAAGCAGTCAATTCTACACCCTCATCTCTAGCTGCATCAAGAAATGTAGTTCTTCCTTTTACTTTTGGTTCTGTTGTCAATCATCTTAATTGCTTTCTGATGTTTCTCAACTCTTCTGTTAATGGAAATATTTTCTTTCCATCTATTCTGTCTGGACCCCTCATGATATTGAACATCTATGACTAATCTCCATTCAACCATTATGTCTCTAATGAGTACAACCTCATCATTGTCTATCCACATAACTGAAGTCCCACATTTGTAGGACTATACTAAATAAATGTGTTTGCACTCTCTCTCTAAAACCTTCACACCTTTCCTAACTCATGGTTCCCTGTCTTAGATACTGTTAGTGCTTAGTGCTTCAGTTGAGGCCAAACTAGTACTTTCTAAAGGTCTTTGCTTCTCTTATAAAGCCCTGGATGTTGTTTACTTTTCAGGTCCTGTTTCAACCTACCCTGCTATATTCATGACTTGTGCACATCCCCATGTCTCTATATGTGTGTTTCTTTTAGAATTGTACCCTTTATTCTATATTATCTCTCCTCATTTACCTATCAAAATACATCACATCACCCTTCATTGCATGAAACTTAATCTGTCACCTGCCCACCCATTCTGCCAGCCTGTATTTGTCCTCTTGAAATCTATCACTATTCTCCTTGCAGTTCACAATGCTTTCAAATTTTGTGCCATTCGTAAATTTTTTGATGCCATGCCTTATACATTCAAGTGAGGTCATCAATTTATATCCAGAAACCAACTGGTCGAAGTACCAGCCACTGGGAAATCTCACTATGAGCCTTCATTGAGTATGAGAAATAACCATTTACCACTACTCTGTTTTGTGTCACTCAGCCAAGTTTATGTCCATGCTTCCTTGCCTCGTTATTTTATGGGCTTCAACTTTGCTTGCAAGCTAATTATATAACATTTAATCAAAGATCTTTGGAAATTAATATACACCACATCAACCAGTAACTTTTATCAACCCTTTCTGTTACCTCATCAAAAAACTCAATCAAGTTAGCTAAACACAATCCCCTTCAACAAATCAGTTTTGGTTTTTCTTAATTAATTCACATTTCTCTAAGTCACTGTTAATTTTGTACAGGATTATCATGCATAAATGCATTCAAACTACTAGAATTCAATTAACTGGCCTCTGTTTGCTGCATTAATCCTTACAACCTTTTTGAAAACGTTTGCAATGTGCAGTTCTCTGTGTGCTTGGCATGATCGCATATCTTGCAAGAATTGGAAAATTATAGCAGGTACCTCCCCAATCCACTTTTACTTCAGTCAGTACCCTAAGATGCACCTATGGAATCTATAAACATTATACCCCACAAACAACAATCTGCCAATAATTCACTTGTATTCCATACAAATAACATGTCTATTATTGCCAAATAATAGTCAGTCTTTCTCACACATCTCTTTATTTTATTTTTTTAGTTCTTTGATATCTCAACTATGTCTTCCTTTACTGCTGCTTTGGCAGCAGCATCTTCCATGCAAAAAATAAATAAAAGTAAATGCAAATTAATTACTTACTACCTAAGCCATGCCCTCAGTCTCCAAAAAAATGGTCCCATTTTTGGCTGTTAGTTGGTCTCACTGCTCTGCTACCCTTTTACTATTCATATTTAGATTGAAGACTTTTAAATTCCCTAATATATTAGCTGCCAGCCTCTTCCCTTACTCAGTATTTGCCACATCTATTTTTTAAAAATTCACCTATGAGCTTGTCTATAACACAGCTTTACACCCAACACAGTAAACTAAATGAAACATTGCTGTACCACACTCACAATAATTATCCATAATAGGCCTGTAGTCATAAACAAGTAACCTGTTTGTAACATACTTGTATCCGCAGATCACATAAACTTGTCTATAACACATGAGTATGACACATATCCTGTCTAAAACACACCAGTACCCCACAAACAGTAACTTGTCTAGACCAAATCAGTATTCCAAAAAAACTTACCAGAACTGTACAAACACACGTTAATTGATCTACAACACACCTGTGCCCACAAACAGTAACCTTTCTATAGCACAGCTATACACCCCGCACAGTGACCTGTCTGTAACACATCAGTAGCTTACACACAGTAACCTTTCTATAACACACCTGTACCCCACACAATAACCTGTCTATAACACACCTGTACACCCCACACAGTAACCTGTCTATAACACACCTGTAGCCCACGCACAGTAACTTTTCTATAACACACCTGTAGCCCATGCACAGTAACTTTTCTATAACACACCTGCACCCCAAGCACAATAACTTGCCTTTAACACACCTGAACCACACAAACAGTAATCTGTCAGTAACAAGCCTGTCCCCCTTACACTATAACCTATCTTCAACACACCCATAACTCAGACAGTAACCTACCTGTATAACACCTGTACCGCCCACACAATAACCTATCTTTAACACACCTATATGTCATACACAGTAACACACCTGTACCTCACATAAAGCAACCTGTCTATACACACCTATATGTGACAAACAGTAACCTGTCGACAGCAAATCTGTATCCTGCACAGAGTAATTGTCTGTAACACACCTGTATTCCATTCTCAGCAACCTGTCCACAACACACCTGTACCCTGCATATGGTAACCGGTCTGCAACACACCCGTAATGCACACACAGTAACCTGCCAGCAACACACCTGTACCCTGCAAACAGTAACCTGTCTATAACACACTTGCATCCTGCACTCAGTAACCTGTATATGATACACCTGTACCCTGCATTCAGTAACCTGTCTACGATACACCTGTACCCTGCATTCAGTAACCTGTCTATGATGCACCTGTACCCTGCATTTGGTAATCTGTCCGTAACACACCTGTACCTTGCACACAGAGATAGTAAGAACTGCAGATGCTGGAGTCAGAGATAACACAGTGTGGAGCTGGAGAAACTCAGTAGGCCAGGCAGCATCAGACGAGCAGGAAAGCTGATGTTTCGGGTCGGAATCGCAACATACCCCCTCTGGTGATCAAAATTGCTCTCGACCGCATCTCTTGTGTTTTCCGCACCTCTGCCCTCACATCCCCTCCCCCCAACAATAACAAAGACAGAATCTCCCAGTCGTCACATATCACCCCTCTGTATCCAACATATCATTCTCCATCACTTCTGCTACCTACAATCCAACCACACAACCAAAGATATATTTCCCTCCCCACTCCTATCTGCCTTTTGTAGGAACCACTCTCTCTGTGACTCCCTCACCTGCTCCACACCCCCCACTAACCCCACCACCCCCGGCACCTTTCCCTGCAACCGCAGGAAGTGCTACACCTGCCCCTACACCTCCCCCCTCATCTCCATCCAACGAACCAAACAAACCTTACACATCAGACAGAGGTTCACTTACACATCCGTCAACATGGTCCATTACATCCACTGCTCCCGATGTGGCCTCCTCTACATCGGGGAGACCAAGCGGAGGCTCCGAGACCACTTTGTAGAGCATTTGCGCTCTGTTCACAACAAATGACAATACCTCCCAGTCACAGACCATTTCAACTTCTCCTCCCACTCCCTGGGGAACATGTCCATCCTGGGCCTCCTCCAGTGTCACAACGACGCCACCCAGAAACTGGAGGAGCAGCACCTCATATTCCGCCTTGGGAGCCTATGGTCCAATGGACTCAATGTGGACTTTACCAGTTTCAAAATCTCCCCACACCCAGGCTCATCCCACGACCAACCCTCCCTCTCATCCCCCTCCTTGACCTGACCATCTTCTCTCCCACCTATCCGCTCCTCCCACCTCACTGACTAATACCCACCACTGCCTACCTGTACTCACCTATCACCATCCCACCTACCTTCCCCAGCCCCACCTCTTCTCTCTCTATTTATTTCTGAGCTCCCTTTCCCCTCCCCATTTCCGAAGAAGGGTCCCGACCGGAAACGTCAACTTTCCGGCTCCTCTGATGCTGCCTGGCCAGCTGTGTTCCTGTGTTATCTCTGTACCTTGCACACAGTAATCGGTCTATCATCCCGCACTCCCACAGATATTAGCTAATCTGTGACACACATGTACACGCACGGAAACCAGTCTGCTCAATAACAGGAAGAATCTCACAGCTGTGCTCCCTATGGAAACTTAGCATGAGCATCCACAAAGTGAGACCATTGGCCTGTTCGTGCCCATGTCAACTCTCCACAAGAGCAGCTCAAAGCGATCCAACTTGCTTGTCTTTTCGCTACCCTCGGCTACTAACAGTATCATCACCTACCTACTCACCCCCCTCCCAAAATCCCCCACCTCCCAACACACACTCAAAGTGGGATAACAATTATTCGCACAATGTCCAGTAAAGAGCACATTGCCATTCTACACACGGAGCCACTGAGTACACGGGCTTTAGCTAATATTCAAATAATTTTAATGAGAGTTGATTGAAACGTTGAACGGAGATTAACACAGATAATGTGAGAATTCACGATTGAATGATGTCTCTCTCACTGCAAGCTCACTATTGAGTATAAATTTCAACTGTGTCAAATTATCTCAGAATTTGCAAATGGAATAATTGTCGGCGGGTCAGTGAAGTTTATGCATTGCCGGGGTGGAGTTGTGAGTCAGATAGCTGATGATCTGAGAAAGGGCAAGTTTGGAGAGTTCCTGAGTTCTGGATATTTACAGGCGGTCTCACCGTGCGTTTGGGTCTCTTTGACAGCGAAATTAGTTCCTCGCCCCCCAATATTTCAAGGAAGGAATGAGGGACAAGTTGGAAATCAGAACTCCCCGCTCTTCAGGTGTTGTTCGGAAGGAAGATTCCCAAATAATTCCATTTGCATATTCGGAGTGTTTTCCCCAAATCTTTGGTATCAGTGATCGCTGCTCCGTTAACACGAGATAATCGCATAAAGGGCAGTTACAGACTTACATGGCCGTGTTGGTCCAGTTCATTGTTGGTGAGCTTCACTTTCTCAAAGGAGACCATTTGTTTGAGAAGCTGTTCACCCGTGAATGGACAGTCAGGGTGTACATATAATCTACAAATCAGGAGAAGGGCAGAAATTACATAAACCGGATTGGCATTCCCTGGAAAACAGAGACAAACGGGACGATTTGATTGAAGGTATGTGGAGGAAATGAAAAGGGTGAATGGATCCATCTTTTCACCGATGTGGGAAACGAGGACCAAAACCTCCCAGTCTAAACGTTGCAGCCAAACCTCTCGGCCCTTCAGCGCACAAATAGTGGCAGTTTGGACCCTCGCTCCCTAAACAAGAGTGTCACTTGATCAAATGGTGACACTAGTCCCTCGATGAAGGGGTGGCACTGCGGCTGTGTCGTTAGTGCCTCACTCAGCAGGTGGGACCCGGGTTCGATTCCAGCCTCGGGTGACTGTGTGGAGTTTGCACGCTCTCTCCTGTTTGCGTGAGTTTGCTCTGGGTGCTCTAGTTTCCTCCCATAGCCCAAAGAGGTGTAGGCTAGGTAGATAAACCATGGGAAATGTGGGGTGGGTCTTGGTGAGATGCTCTTAGGAGGGTGGGTGTGGACTGTAGGAAATGTGCGTTTTTTTTATGTTAAGGCGGCTGCAGATCACCCACCATCTTGTTGAGTAGTGGGATAGGCCCAAAGGCTGAATGGACGGTCCTGTTGCTATGAGAGAGACACGGTGCTGGGAAAACAGCCCAGCCTCGGGGGTTCAAACCCCCGAGTCTGCTCTCTGTAAGAGTCATTTTTATTTTACCCGAACCCCAAGACCAAACAACAATCTCAAGAATTTATTAGCTGTCGTGTAAGATTCGACAAGGTTCAGTATCCAATTCAGGGCTCTCTGTTTCTCCCAGGGAATGTGGCTCACTGGCCATACATTCATTTTGTATAACAAAAAGAAAGCAAAACACGGACCCAGCCAGTGAGCGTGCGATCCGGACATTGACGCGGATTGTGTATTTACAGCGGAATGTAAACCTCGGTGGATTTGGTGTTAAAGTTGTAAGTGTGTGTGATCTTTGTGAGTTATTGAACAGTGGGAACTGCCGGATCAGTACATCTACCTGTGGAGGGACATTTATGTCTCAAACATGTGGCTACTTAGAGCCGAGGGATCTAGAGAGCCCGGGACTGGGTCAACGCTGAGAACTTCCGCGAGTTTGTAAAAATAGAGAAATGCCCCGGATTCCAGTCTCAATCCTGATGAATAAACGCAATGGTCAGACCTTGCGGGGAGCGGCGGGTCTGCTTTCCCAGCAACCAGCCACGAGGAGCGATGATAGGCGTAACGATATCTTTTATTGTCCACTGACACAATATCCATCAGCACAATGTACTTGGCTTCAGGATCCACCCCAGACAGCGAGACTCGGATAGTGGGGAACATTCTCCTGAAACGGGACAGACAAAGAGAACATACGCTGAAACTCAACCATTCCGCTTCACAAACTCGTCCTCTCTCCCCTCCCCAACTCCATGAAAAAAGTCATCAAATCAGCCAGAGAACTCAGAGAAATCTAATATTTCACTTCATTTCTGTTCAGCTCCAAAAGCAGCCAAAGAAATAGCAAACCAGGCACTTTCTGACCCACCGCACACCTCCCCACCCCCTAAAAATATCCCCTTCTTCTGGCCGGCGCCTGTCAACTGGATTCAGGAATGTGAAATCCGTGTTTGCCCGGTTAGTAACTTGGTGAGTTATACACGTCAAAGCGAATGTACGATCCACCGCTCGGCAGACGCTGCTGTGTTTCATAGCGCTTTTCAGGCTCGACTTCAGAATTCCACCTTCTTCTCTAGTAGGAGCAGGCCATTCAGCCCACCGTGTCTTTGTCGGCCTTTTGAAAGATCTATTCAATCAGTCCTATTCTATCAGCTCTTTCTAGCTCTGCTCCCTCCACCAACCCCCAGGCCCCCACCCACTCTCCACACCTCCCCGCAAACTCTAGTGTTTACCCAATTCTCTTTCGGAAGTTATTGATTCAGTTTCAGTCACACTTCATGTAGCGCATTTCAAATCACAGCAAAGATTTCAGATTTCCAGTGTATTCGGCACTTAGAGAGTATTAAAACTGACCGCGAACCACCTGAATTCACAGAAACATTTAGAAACACCTTTTGGGAACAAAATAGGACGCATTACACATACCACTCTATAGCACGGTACCAATGTAATTATTCTCTTACGATTGCCCGAAAGCAGAAGTATGATCTCTATATAAGGCTTGGATACATCATAAATAATGTTTACAGCAGTAAGAATTTCATTTAACGTAACTTCATTCGAGCAAAGACAGCGAATCCGACTTGAAAATAATTATAATTTGTATCAACCCAATTATTGTTCTTTGGATAATTTCTACATTATTTTGACTTCCCATATGTTTTATTCCTGCTCGTTATGAACGACACGGAATTAAAGTGTAGATTTGTCTGTCACTAGTTACATAGCACGGTGAAAACAGGAACATTTAAACAACCGCCATTGCATTGAATTCGGCCGCTTTCTCATTTACTCTCGTTCTGACAATTTAGTGAGGACAGAACTGACGGGCAGAAAAACGTTACCGTTCCTCCACGAACGGGTCACCGCAAAACAAAACGCACCTCATCTCGTTTGCGATCAATGATCCAGTGGTGTTGGTTAACCTTTCGTTGAAAACGGCGGAGTCACCGGTTGCAGCGGGCGATGAAATAGAAAAAAAACGAAACGGCAGCACTAACCGAGAATTAAAATCTCTAATTCCTTCCAAACCAACAATTTTATTTAAGAATCTCCAGGCTCGTGTTTCTGTCAAACTAATTCAGTGCCAAATCTCGATCTATGATCTGATCTCCATTGTAGAAAGCGATTAATTACATGCTTCAGATTGAAATTTAATTCACAATTTCACCTGGATTCTAAGGCAATTGTTTTGCTGTAGGAAGTAGAATAATTTCCTCACCTGCCCGATTTGGTGATGATCATCTCTGTACCCAGTTCATGAAATTTGTCCCATAACTCTTTGGTTTCCAGGCTACAGCTGATCTTGGCCATTTCGGCGCTGGGGACGGTCGGGGTGGTGGGGATCAGAGGCTCAGTACAGACTGGGGATGCACTGCCGCTGTAATCACCGAGTTCGAGGCTGCTCAGGTCGCCCAAGGGCTGAGAGCAAGAGGATTTCTCCACAAACTGCTCTGTTTCGGAGGGAGAGAAAAGCGCGTGGACACATTTCATCAACTGAACGACCTTTCAAACATCGTGGCCGGATTGCTGAATTCGCATTACTAATCGGTCAATTAAACTCAAGACTTCAGGAGATTTAACTCAAGCGAGAAAATAAATCGCTTCAAACTACCAAGCACTTTAAACAAACTTCATAGTGTGCAGTATATTTCCTTTAACTTCATTCGAATTTCGCATTCGGAGCAAGAATTGGTTTAAAGGTATTTTAGAAGCAATACTTTGTTTCAAATGGATTAAATCTCTCCAATGGAAATAGATTAGCTAGTATTCGGCAACAAAAGTGTTCACAAAGACAGTTAGTCGTACTATTATGCAATTATGCAAACAATCAGCAGTGACATTTCTGCCAGCTAAAGGTGTGAGTTCCACTTACCGAGGGGTTTAATGGTATTTTCCTGGATTTCCTTCTCTTTGGAGTTTCCAGTTGAAATAAGGGCAGCGATGGAGAATGCATTGGCCCGGGATGAGAGCTGTGGTTTGGCACTGCTGTACTCCATGGTCGGTGCTGGGGCTAGGACACCTCCTGCTGTGTTCATCCCGGGAGGGGTCCGCACTCACACCGGGAGCAAGTTGCTCCTCTCTGCTTCTTGCGATCGCCACTCGACTGTTTCCGAATCGCCTCCCGCGCCGCCAATTAATTTGGTGCCTCCCGCAGTCCGTACACCGCGCCTGGGCGGAAAGAGCCAATCAGTGGCTTCTGATGTCATAGGCGCCGGCTTTCCGTGGAGGGCGTGCATTGTGCGCTTGCGCAATACCGGCCGGTAGGCAGGAGTGCGCACGTGCAGCGAGCAGCTTGCGTTTGTGGCCGGCGGAAATTCCGGCAATGCGCAGGCGCTCTAGGGATAGAGCAGCTTGAGGGGATGTCAATGTTGCTGTGATGGGCAGCAGGCACCCTGACTGGGATTAGTCCACACCAGGACACAGACCATTGCATCCTGCTGTCTGTAGAAGCCCAGCAACAAATCTGTGACAAATTTAATGCTAGAGACTCAATGCCCCAGTTGCTAAGACAGACTTGGAGTCTGCTTGTTGGCATGTTATAGTTTTGATGAAATCACCATTTTTTTTCACAGAGTTCTAAAGGATTCCGTATCCGAGCTGTTTATTTGCAGAATAACTTGAAACTCCACACGATCCTGCATGTTTCACATTCCGAACACATATTTTACAGTCATATTTCTCCCAGATACCTTGGTGCAGCGTTAAAATTAGAAACCCTTGAACGTTTGTAGAAAAAGCCATCATTTTCTCCTCATAGAAAAACGGCACAGTTGCTTCAGATTCCATTTTTAATGTTGCGCTTACGCCATTGCTAGCTTATATATCATTTTAGAGTCTTTGTAAACTCAATGATAAGTAACGGTGGGATGTTGGTGTCGCAGAATACGGTTTTAATTGAGACACACGCAACTGTTACTCGATGTTTCTGTTAAACTACACTGTCGCTTCTTTTTTCCTCCCAAAGAAGCTTTATTTCTGTTTTTTTCCCTCTGCTCAGATAAGGAAAGAGACCTGTCTAGACGAACCAACGTCAGTAAGCAGTGTTTTTGTTTGTGTAATTAATTACTCTGAAATCATACTCTGCTTTCTCACACACTTCAAACAGATCAAATTGTTACCATTGCAGAACGAGTTTATTTTCAGGAGGGGGTTCTCTCCCTATTGTGTATTCATTGCTTGTTTCTGGTCCTCCAATGAACATTTGTAATTGCCATTTCAACTCGAAAGTGCAAGTTTCAGGGAGTATAACAATAATTCTAAATTATACGTAGTGTGTTTCTCATCATTCCGGAATAGATTCGCTCTTGTGATTCAAAGACAAATTTCTCCCGACAAACAAGAAAAAAAGAGTATTTAAGAGGATCTAACCTTGGAAATATTCTGAAAATATGAGAATGTCAATAATCTTATTCAGACCCTGCAGCCAATCTGGCTGCACCTGCCATTGTTCTTATATAAAACAGTTATATCAAATCTGGCAATTTCAAATGACAGATTGCCCTCTCGGAATGCACTTTGATTTTCCCTAACATTTCACTGAAGTGTTTTCCCTTAGGATACCAATCACAAGCGCCGAACAACTCGCCTTTTTCCCGGTGAAATTTGGTGCGGTCCATTTAGTCAGCTTTCTGGGAATTCGCTCTTTGAAATCCGTACCAAATTTTATTCAGTTTCCCTTCTTGGGAAATGTTTCATAATCAGCGATTTCATTAAAACACGCCTGGCCTTTCGGTTCCACAGGGCGCACAGGAATGAATCCCTATAATATCAAACGCACAATTCCAGAGTGGATGTGCTATCTCTACCGGCTTAACGCGGGACAGAAACAAATTTATTGTGCCATTTATACAGCGATCTTGTTTTTATTTCTATAGTTAACCATTTTCTTTAGAACATTCGCATTTTGAGTTTAATTTCATAATACATGATTTGTTTTACTGAGAATATTTTCACTTTACACAATAAACAGCCTCGCGGAATTATTGCGAAGCAATTTAATAGTCTAACACTGGCCGAATTTCACAGGTAAAACGACATGAATTAAATATTTATAAATCCCAGAAAGCACGTGTGAACGAGTATTAAGGCAGAAATGACACTGGGACTCTGGGCAAAAGTAGTTTGATTTCCAGAAATAATTTATTCTTCCAAATTGCCGTGTTCAAATTTTCACGGCACCTAGACTCCTGCTCACGATCCGCTAAAACGAGAGTTTTTAGTATTGCAGCGTACGATGGAAATGTTCTGTGGACAAAACTTCTTCTAGTACATTTTTGCTTTTAAATGAAAAAATAGGTTAAATGCGGTACAAGTATAAGGAACACGCCTTTTGGCGCCCGGGAACTAAGAGATGGACATACGGTATGGAGTCCAATTGAATTATGTCAAGCTGCATCCAGATGAACAGGGATATGGAAACTTGCATAGAGACAAATATTGAGGACAAATGTGGTGCGTGGACAGATATATAGAGATAATCTCCATGAAAGATCGAACGACTGAAAGAGATCGGAGTAGATCTAGCGGGTTTATTGCGATATTGTGTATAGGGGAATAATTCTCTGAACAATAAGGAGACAACTAATGGAAGTTTATATACACAAACCTTCACGCTCCTAACGTGCCGCATATGGAAAGATTCTATAATATTGTTGTTTTTGAGGAAAACTGCCAATCATTGCTTGAAATTAATCGCAGACTCCGATACCGCGGACTCTGCTCGAACATGAATCCTATAAACAAGGAGATCTCAAACCAGGAGCCGGGGAGGCGCGGATGAGCAGCCCTATCCTGGGGCTGCTTCCTGAGACTATTTCGGAGTGGGTTGGATTATATTTAATGGGTCATGTATTTAATTTTGCATCCCACCGATGGCAGGTAAAAAGCTGAGCAAGATTTGTAATCATCTTGCTTGAAGTGACGAGCCTGCAGTAGTGAATGCCACCGTACTCAATGTCACCTAAAGTGAAAGAAATACAGTTTGCAGCATTCTGCTCGAATCAGCAGCTTTTTAATTCCATTAGACACCCCGCACCCACTGAAAGTAAATACAGTGCAGGAGGTTTAATCAGGCACACTCGACAATTAGATTATCGTCAAATTGCCAGCGGATAATGTGCTAAAAGCTTTCTCAGTTAGTGTAACTCCTGACTGAGAATTATTCGCACATTTGGACCCCTTCAGTCCCCTGATATTGCAACTCGCTCCTTAAAACGGCAATACCCGACCTGGGTCAGACAGGGTGATCAATCTGCTTTCTGATACACTTATTTCATAAACTGAAGAAATTCTGGTAATTGCTCAGGACTCGTTTTTAGTTCTGACAAAGATTACTCTGCAGTTAAGAGATCTCTAATTCGATAGGGGCTGTGCTAAAACAGGCCTCGGCTTTCGCAAACTCTCACGAAAATGGTGTGTTTTGATGACGAGTTTAGTCCGAATTGAACAAACACGAAAACAGGCAAATTTAAATCATGCGAATTAACTGTTAGAGAGCAGGACAAGGGGCAGTTGGTCGAGGGCTTTTTTTTTGTGGACAGAAAAAGCTTACATTTTGTGATACTCTTCAAAAATCAAGTGTGGAACGGAGACGGAAACAGTTTCCACAAACTACATTAACCGCTTGCCTTCAGATTGCACCCTTACAACCCTTTTTTTGAAAGGCAATTAGCATTTTAATTCTCTCAGCAGCAATTCCAGTAGAAAATGAAAGGAGATAAAAGGCTGCCTGGCAAACATTTCACAGGTGCTGTGTGCAGAAATGCCTGTGTTTTGTAGGCTAAGATTCGAAATCCCAGGTAACTTTATTTAACCCTGGTTGCGCTGCCAGGTGAGTCCTGCAAAGTGCTGGTGTTTCTGCTCTGCAGAGCTGCAAATGTAGCTGGGCTGCTGACATCACATCCCCAAACAGCCCGATCCGAGGAGCAATGCATCCATGTCCCTAAACTCACTTCAACCACAGCCAAACCAAAAAACAAACTCAATCTCAACCCATCCCCAAAATCCGAACTCCGCATCCAGAACTTCACATACTTTTTTTTTCATCAGGATTTTGACGACGGGGAAGTGCCTGCGGACTGTTACAATAGCATGCCCCATTTCCCGGAAAGGAGATTACTGCTGAATTCACTCAGTATCCCGCTTGCAGCTTTTAGAGTTAACATTCCCACTAATGCATTGTGGATACGCACGGATCAAAGGATAGAACAATTCCCCAAACCTGGAAAAAAAAACTCCCGAGGAGAAACAAGTGAAACGGTGGGACTTTGTTTTCCGTTAGCCAGTAACATTTTTTAGCTGTTATTTGTGTCTTTATATAATTGCAGTTTATCAAAAGCGGGGAGAGCTGGAATATCCCAGTTGAGTTTTTTTTTCTGTCAATTCAGTATTTCGGAATTTTTCAGTAAAAGTAAATCGCCGTGAGACATTTGAACAGGGAGGCCATTCAGCCGCAGGGGATAGAATATCAGAAAGACAATTTAATCTAAACTGAGCCACTGAACGCGGACTGCTGTAAGGTATTTTGTGATCTGTGTGTGAGCATCTATTTTAAACAGAATTCTACCTTCCTCGGTCACAGCTCAACTGCTTCACGAGAATCTGAACGAGTGGTTCCAAACTGTTTATTTCAAACCTTGTATTAAATTATTTGGCAGCTGTACAGGTCGGCTCAAATATAAATTAATATTACACATCTTTCAACGCATCCCTGTTTTGCATTTGAGGCTAGTTTTGGTCATAATGATTGGTAATTGGAAACACAGCTCATATAAAAGGCTGACCGGGTGTAAGCTTCTCAAACCACTGAGGGACAGTCAGTGAAAACATATTTAAAAGCGGATGAGTGATATCTTGAGCGCAGTGTGCGAGCTAATGTCTCTCCTTTTGTCTCAATAAATCAGAGTACAAGACCTTGATTTAATTGGACCGCTGGTAATGAAATGGCTGCAATATCATCGCGACGCCCGATCACCTTTCAAGGCCAACCTTTATCGAATTATGGAGAATCGAGAACTCAGATCGGATTATTGGATTA